AAAAAGACGAGATGAAATAAAGAAAAATTCGATCGGGGTACGAACCAACGATGAAACAAAGGGCGAAGTTGAACATGATAGTTATAGCGGGGAGAGGGAGGTATAGAGAAGATAAGAAATCTTTACGATAGTGTAAGGGGAAGGAAGGTATCGAGAGGCTGCGGATCAGGGCGGCCGGGGATGGTGCCCCAAGGGCGAGGCGAACCCGCCCGTGGCAGCCGAGTACTCACCACACGTGGCGGCATGGATGGGATGGTGAAGCTGACGGGCGCTGTACCGAGCGCCTCGACCTTGGCTTCTCCGACGTCAAGTTGTGGGTGGCGAACGTGGCTCGTGGGCACCTCCGCCGTGCCAGTGACCCCGCCAGTGAGTGGGAGAAAGTGCTGGAGAGGTCCAAGGAAGAAGACGAGGACAACGACATCGACGATGACGGAAACCTCTGGGTGCAGCATGGCTCGAGGAGCACCATCAACGTGGAGTACTTCGCCGTCGGCGATGTGGAAACCGTCCTAACTGCCCTGGCGATTGGGTCTCACCTGAGGGAGGGTGTAGAGGATGTAGGAGTGTAGAGCGCTGTAGAGCTGTAGAGCTGTAGAGCGCTGGAGAGCGCTGTAGAGCGCTGTGTAGAGCTGTAGAGCTCTACATCCGCCGCGTGACGATGTGCCCTAGGATGTGCCTCCGTTGTAGAGCGATGATTGTAGAGCGCGATTTTGCTGTAGAGTTTGTTGTAGAGGCTCTACAGCCAAACCGCCGGGAAGGCAGTGACTCAAAGAGGTCGAGCCGCGCTAATGGGGTGTCTCCGAGCTTACTGGAGCTCTGATGGACAGCCCTGACTATCCCTGACACACAGAGAGTCACTCTGACAGCACACAACACCCTATAACTGCGTCATGACCAGCCTGCCATGCGTCGCCGGTGCCGCATTCATCGCTGTGCTTCTTTAGCAGGCGGTGGACTGTCGGCTGCGAGGACGGTCGCCTCGCATTTGCGCGAGGCGAGGCGAGCATTGCTGCGCGTTGCATGCGCCATGCCTCGCGCCAGCGCGTGCGGGAGCTCCTGGCTGAGCGTTGAGTCCAAGCGAGTTGCGCTGGCCACTATCGCTACGCCGAGCTGAGCTGACGCACCGAGGCGCCGGCCAGTCGCAGCCGAGAGGCATGCCACAGCAGCAGAGGCACCTGCCACCCATTGGACGGGCAGTCAGAAGGCCAGGGCAGCACTGGCAAGTGCAACGCGCCTCATGTCGGAGAGCGGCCGTGCCTCGTTCGCCGCTTATGATGTACGTACGTTTTGAGCACTTGAGCACCGGATAGGGTCGATTCCGCATATGGTACGGGACCCCTCGATCGTCTCGCCCTCCCTCACTGGTGTGTTCATATCATTGGGGGGGTCATAACAAACACGGTACAAGGATCGAGGTGCACGCTGCAGAAGCAGTGTCGTCCCCCCTCTCCCCGACGGCGATGGCGGTGTGACCGGTCGTTTTAGCTTACTGGGAGAAAAGGGAGATGTAGAGTTTGTAGTAGAGATTTCACGTTGTAGAGCGCCTCTACATCGCTC